AAACTTGAAGCTATACTTTGGGGGCACTCTATACCTGAAACAAGCTGGCACCATTGTTCTTGCAAACTGCATAACTAAGGAAGTACAAAGGACTTTAAACTAAATAATGGGCAAGGATCAAATGTAGAAAGATGTTGTACAAAGAGTAGAAACAAGGTGGGAGGAGGAAAATAGTAATATGGAAAATGTGGGTCAGAGAATCGCAGGAAGGGACAGAGAGAAAGAAAACCTTGAAATACATCAACAATTAATACAAGATATTACAAAGCAGACAGAAAGATAAAACTAATGGCTCTATATTGAAATGCGTGTAACATTCTGAAAACGAACAAATTCATAGCGTACACTGAAAGAAATAAATACGATCTGACAGTCATTACAGAGACTTGGTGGCAAGATGGGAACGATTGGTCCTGGTAATTGAGGAACATGTGGCATTCAAAATGAATAGGATGCTGGATAAAGTTGGAGGGTAGCATTGTTAGGAAAGGACAGCTTTTGCACAATACTTAGATATGAATTGGTTCAGGACATCAGGATGTGGAATAAACTGATCGACAAGACAGCAATAATCATGAGTCACTTTAGTCCACTGGAAAAATCAGACTGGCAGTAGTAATCCGAATGAGGAATTTATGGAATACTTTTGAAGGCTTTTTTTTAAGAGCGGCATATTCTGGAACTGACCAGAACAATGTTCCCTCTAAGCTGCACAACCATGCAGCTGCTGGGAGGTCCTGGGCATGCTGATTGACGTGCTGATGTGTTGACTTCCGTATACATAGAAACATACAAACATAGAAAATAGGTGCAGGATTTGGTCATTCGGCCCTTTGAACCTGCACCACCATTCAATATGATCATATTTGATCATGCAATTTCAGATCCCCTTCCTACTTTCTCTCCATACCCTTTATCCCCTTATCTGCATGGTCACATCCAGCTCTGTCTTGAATATATCTAATGAACTGGACCCAACAGCTTCCTGTTGGAGAAAATTGCACAGGTTCACAGCTCTCTGAGTAAAGAAATTCCTCTTCATCTCACTCTTGAATGGCTTACCCCTTATTCTTAGACTGTGACCCCTAGTTCTGGACTTCCCAACATCGGGAACATTCTTCCTGCATCTAGCCTGTCCAGTCCCATTAGGATTTTATGTGTTTCAATGAGATTCTCCCCTTGTTCTTCTAAATTGTAGCAAGTACAAGCCCGGTCGATCCGGTCTTTCTTCATATGTTAGTTCTGCCATCTCATGAATCGATCCGGTGAACCTTCGCTGGACTACCTCAATAACAAGAATGTCCTTCCTCAGACTGGGAGAACAAAACTGCACACAGTACTCATAGTTGGCCTCACTAGGGCCCTGTATAACTACAGCAGGACATCCCTACTCCTGTACTCAATTCCTATGCAGAAGTTGCTGTTGCGCTTAGACCTCAGAGGTTTGCGCAGCTGAGAAAAAATGGGAAATGTAGGATCGAGAGCAGGCTGTATTAGATTTGACATTATGTGATGTGACAGGATTAATTAATGACCTCAGAGTAAAAACCTAGGTAGCAAAGACCACCTACATTCCCTGCAAGTTTTTCTGCCGCTTTGCAGACCACTGAAGTCTGTGCACAGCAATAGCTTCTGAAAATCAATGTGTCCACACATCGACTGATACATGTGTATCCTCTGCATGTGCAGCTTAGAGGGAACACTGGCAACCATAATATGATTGAATTTTATATTCAGTTAAAAAGAGAGAAGATTGGATCAAGACTAATATTTTAAATAAGGTCAGCTATGTGGGCATGAAAGCTGAGCTAGCTGAAATGAATTGGCTTCTGAGGCTGAGGAATAAAACAAGCAGTAGCATATGTTTAAGGGGGTATTTCACAATATTCAGAATAAGTATATTACTACTAATAAGAAAAGAATTTTAAAGGAAGGATCTACCAATCTTAAGAAGTTAGGAAAGTATGAAACTTAAGGAAAAGGAAGGAATTGTACAAAGATGAGTCGTTAGTCAGAATACAGAATGGCAGAGAATGACTAAAAAGTTAATCAAAACAAGAAAAAAACAAAAAGCATGAGAGGAAGCTAGCTAGGAATGTAAAAATAGATGATAGTTTCTGTGTGCAATGATCACTGGTCTGCTACAGTCAAAATGGGGAGTGATAATGAATTGGAAAGGTATGTTATAAAGAAGACATAAGGCAGATAAGGATAGTGAGTGGGCAAAAATCTGGCAGATGGAATATAACATGACGAAATATGAAATTGTTCACTTTGGCAGGAAAAATGAAAAAGCAGAGTATTACTTAAATGGATAATGACTGTGGAATTCTAAGGTGCAGCAGAATTTACTACACTGTGCATAATTCACAGAAAAGTAGCATTCAGCTACTGCATGTAGTTAAGGTAGCTAATGAAATAATAATCTTCATTATGAGAGGAATTAAACATAAAGGGATGTTATGCTTCAATTATACACGGAATTGATAAGTCCACATCGTGAACATTTTGTGCAGTTTTAATCTTATTTAATAAAGGACGTAAATGAATTGGGGGTACTTCAGAGGAGGTTTACTAGATTAAGACATGGAATCAGTGGATTATTTTATGTGGATGGATTAGGCAGGCTGGGCTTGTTTACACTGGAGGTTTGCAGTGTGAGGAGGGACTTGATTGAAGTGTACAGGATGCTGAATGGTCTTGGCAAAGTCATGTGGAAAGGTTGTTTCCTCTTATGTATATGTCCAAAATTAGGGGATTCCCCTATTGGACAGAAATGGGAAGAATATTTTCCTATGAAATGATCATGCAATTTTAGAGCTTTCTAGCTCAGAAGGCAACAAAGGTAGGGTCACAAAGTATTTTTAAGGCAGACATAGCTAGATTCTTGTTAGACAAGGAAATCAAAGGTTATTGAAGGTAGGTTGGAATGTAACATTCAAAACACAAAGAGATCAGCTATTATCTTACTGAATAGCAATGCAGGTTTGTGCAGCCAGGTAGTCTACTTCTGCTTTTATTTCATATGTCTGCAAATTGCTTCACCTCTCCTCCAAATGTCCTTTAAGTCCTCCCTTAAAATCTACCTCTTCACAAAGTACTTGATCAAACCTCCTAAACTCTTTTTACTAATTTCGGTGGCAAGTTTCTTCTGATTATGCTCCAACAAGTAACTTGGAACATTTTACTCAATACAGGTGATATATAAGTCACTCAGGAAATAGCAAGAACTGACGATGCTGGAGTCAGAGATAGCACAGTGTGGAGCTGGAGGAACACAGCAGGCCAGACAGCATCAGAGGAGCTGGAAAGCTGATGTTTTGGGTCGGGACCCTTCTTGTCTCTGATGCTGCCTGGCCTGCTGTGTTCCTCCAGGTGATATTTAAGTGCAAGTTGCTATTATACTGTGAGATTCTTATTTCTGAATTACGTTTTACATCTTCAGAGCAGAATCAGAAAAGTTTTCTTTTAGAATGTTAAATGTTATGAAAAACACTTCTTTATACACAACAATATTTATAAAAATTAATAAACCTGGAAAATCAAGGCTATGAAATTTTAAACTCAAATTTTTATGGACAATTTACTCTCTGAAGATCATCAGAATAAAGTCATCGCATAAAGTCCAATCATTCAACTATTTGATGTAATTGTAGATGTCAGAAATTCTTTTTTAACCTACAGTTAAATGAACCCATTTATACTAAAATCTAAAAGGTTAATATTTTGTAATTGAAATTAATTTCAAGAAATGTATCAAATAAACCATTACATTAAATGGGACACACTCAACATTACTTATCCTAAATAAAATCTTTTCATGTCCACTATCACTACAATTTTAATTAAGTATGAAGTTTGTATTTCTAATTTTTTCCCAAATATTACCACACAAACATCTACCATCTAATAATGAGTAATATTTTTCATTTGTTTATGTTTCAACTGGTTATATTATATAACAGTTGTCACAAATTAAGTAGCACTGTATAAAAGTAATATACCATTCTAACAAAGTGACATATAAATATCTAAAAATATTTCCTCAAAATATATATACACATCTTGGTAATGTTATGATCTGTATACCAGATCATCCTTTATCCTATCTTGTAATGTATAAATATGCTTGAATCTTTTCATACACTGTGCGGCATTTGTTACAAGTACATATCTCCCATGAAATTAACTGCGATGACAGCATTTCACAATGCAATACTGTCCTCCAAGTGATATAATAAAACTAATCAGTTGCATATCAATAATATTTTATTACAAGTACTCTTGACAAAGTAGACATAGAACTGTACTTTCAATGTGCGATTAAAGAGTCTATATGTCAGTTTTTGAACTCAATGGAGTCAGTTTTTCCACTGTAAAAATGTGGTGGAATTGCTGGAGTGGCAAATGACATGTCTTCATCATTCAAAAGGCATTCATTCATGTCAGGAAGTGGAGAGTAAACCACATCCATTATTGCACTAAAGTTCAATTCCAGTATTTGTACTAATGTTAGAACCTCCTATTCAGACTGCATTCAAGATCTATAGCATAATTGAGGACTTAAATAGTATTGGCATGCGAAAATTATTGAAAGATAGTGTTTTGTACAATAAAATTATTTATTGATATTGACAATAGCATTATTGTGTTAAATATTGTAAACACAGAAAGGAGGTTTTAATTCACAATTCAACATTTTAAGTGCCTATATTTGTTACCATTTTCACCAAACATAATCAATAATACAATTCAAGAAAATATGCCTTATGGACAGTGCTTCTGACGTTACAGAATAAAACCCTTAACTGACACCATAAGATCAAATAGGGTTACTGTAGCAAATTACACCAAATCGAGATGCTCTCTTGCAAACTTTGATAGGAGTACGTCGTTTACCAATTCTGCTTATTAAAATTAGACAATAGTAAAATATCTGTTCAAACACGTGGAAAGAAGTGTGTTGTGCACTTCCACTGGAATCAATGACAAAATCTTACCTCTTTTGTGAAGCCACCCCTCTTTCACGATTGTACCTTCAGTCATAGTGATACAAAAGATTTAAAAGCAGCAAAACTTCACTTTGAAAGAAAGTTGACTCGAAAGTTCCTGATTGAAACCCCTTATTCTTCACAGCAACCTGTGTTAAAGAGAGAAAAAAGCAATGATAAGTAGCAGGTAATTATAGCAGTTAGCAAGCTTGCGTGGGTTAGGACAAGGTGGGCGTTCACGTACAGTCAGTGATTTCCAGGCTATTATGAACTTACGGTCCAGACTCTGAACTAATTTTAATGAATGGCAGAGAACATAACGCGCTTGGCGCAGCATCGGCAGCTAGCATCCTGTTCCCCGGGCACAGCCGCAGGACAAGCGGCTTCCCCGGCTCCTGGGGCGCCTGGCCGGGAGGGAAGCCCAGGGCAGGGGGCTGACCGATCTCCCATCTCCGGACAGGCAAATGAGAACAGGCCTAGAGCTGAGGCAGGCCTGTAGGCGCTGAGACTGTCCTCAGTGGAAGGTTACCCTGAGGCTTGCTTTCCTACCTGCAGCTAGTCGGGTCCGGCTCCCTACCTCCTTGTACTGCCCCTATGTTCAGCTCCGGATCATAACTAAGATTCGCAAGGCGCTGAACTGTATTAAACGGTGAGATAGCTTCTTCCTTGTGCGAGAATGGGTGACGTTAGGCTGGCTTAGTCTCCCCAGCACGTCAGTACGGGGGCTACACAACGCCCAGGCGAGCTCTACATTCTTAACGAGCAGTAAATACAATAATCGGTAGGTTCCGCAATAAACTCAACGACTCCTGCAATTAACAGCAGTGAAGAAAGTAACGACTGAGACTCACTATTAGCATTAAAGTAACTATCATAACTGACAGCAAACAATTCACAGAAACTGATGAGATAAGAACTGCTTGGGCTCAACAACAAACTAACATGCTACTATTTGCAAGTGACACTGAGCAGATCAACGACTGGGACAGCCATTTTTCAAACTAACCCCTGGGACAGCAGAAAACAAAGCCATAACAGGGGCAAACTATTGTGTTGGATAGTGAACAAAATCATTGTTTCTACTGGCAGGTGGGATTAGATTTAAGTTGCTTTTTTTTTAAAAAATAGGACTGTGTCTTATCAGAAATTGGTTGTGTTAATTTTGTCAAATTTCGTGGAGGGTTTCTCCCAGAAAGGTCTATCAATCCCAAACTTAAATCATTAACTAGGTACAATGCCCATGACAGCCTGCTCATCCAGTGCTAGCCAATTCACAATAAGCAGAAGTATTCATCCCAGGATTACTGGCACCGGCTCATTGTGCATCCTATCTAGAGCTGGCAGTCCAGAGCTGCCCTGTGTAATCAATGATATTTGCCCCGGATGATGCAGATAATGGAGAATTGCTACCTCACTTTGTAGACCAGGGGACCTGGAAGCTTTGGTTGACAGCATGCTGCTGAGGAGGGCCGTCCTCCTACCCAGCCTGGTAGAGGTGATCTTGGAACCAGACCCTGCCCGCCTACAAGGTTGCCACCTGGATCAGTGGACTCCAGAGTTTGGAGAAACACCTAACAATGCAGAAGGAGAGACTGGAATTGCACACAGTATTCCAAAAGTGGTCTAACCAATGTCCTGTACAGTTGCAACAGAACCTCCCACTCCTATGCTCAATGCACTGACCAATAAAGACAAGCATACGAAATGCCTTCTTCACCATCCTGTCTACCTGCGAATGTATTTTCAAGGAACTATGAAATTGCACTCCAAGGCTTGTTTGTTCAGCAACACTCCTCATGACCTTACCATTAAATGTATAAGTCCTGCCCAGATTTGCCTTTTCAAAATGCAGCACCTCACATTTATCTAAATTAAACTCCATTTGTCGCTCCTCAGCCCATTGGCCCATCTGATCAAGATCCAGTTGTACTCTGAGGTAACTTTTCTCGCTGTCTTCTATACGAAGCAATCTCTGTTCCTGTGCTACTCTTACATTACACCACTGTGAATGACTTTGTAACGCATTAGTAATTTTACTCCTTGTTCACAATGCATTGCCTCTTTTCTATCCTGCAGATATAAGAAACATTAGCATGGTCTCCATAGTCAGCATTCCTCGCACCTTTGAGCAAGATAGCATGATGCCTCAGAGGATATGCCAGCAAGGCAGCCTCGTGTACCTATCCACTAGTTCAGGTACTGACCCCTCGGTGAGTACTTCAACTAATTTCGATCTGGGAGTATCTGCTGATGAGCATGTCACTCCTAGGTCTGTGCAGCTGACTGAGTGAGAAATGCCCCAGGTCATTGGCACTGGAGAACAGGTACCTGCCCATGCTACCCAGGAGAGGAGCCCGTTGATGTTGGCAACAAGGGAGTTAATGCTGAGACAAACACAGGAGCAACAGGCAGGTTTGTCAGGAGCACCGGGCAACCTGAAAGAAAGGTTGCAGGATTCCAGCAATGCTGCAGGTACCTTGCAGTCTTAGGTATGCGATTGTCTGGCTGTTTCCAAGAACACTTTGGAGAATGCCAGGGGTGCCAGCTGTCTCAACAGACTCTGACTCATCCCTTCCTCACCAGCACACAGGGCAGTGCTGGTAGACACCTAGCCACAGGAGGAATCGTATATATTCCCCCCAAGACATCTCCTCTCAGGTTACTCCAGAGTTGACTAGGCCTTCAACCCCTACCCTGCTTTTCACCTTTAGCCCACTGGAAGGTCAAGCTGAGGAGATGACTCTGGGCAGGAGACACTCAGCGCGTCTGGGCCCTATAGGCACAAATGCACCCGGTATCACCCAACCAAAACTCCCAGTCCATTTAACTCCATGATGGGGCAAGCTGCCTCCATCAATGTTGAGGGACCCAGAATTTCACTGAGACAGACTGGGAGGAAAGGAAGAAAATGAGCTTCTGAGGGCACTTAGTTAGCAATGGGTAACACTTTATTGTAAATACATTCTCACAATTATAGAGGGTGGTGGTGGAAGGTTCCTTTTCAGACTGGAGGCCTGTGACCAGCAGTGTGCCACAAGGATCGGTGCTGTCATTTATATGAATGATTTGGATGTGAACATAGGAGGTATGGTTAGTAATTTTGCAGGTGACACCAAAATTGAAGGTGTAGTGGACACCAAAGAAGGTTACCTTGGAGTATGACAAGACCTTGATCAGATGGGCAAATGGGCTGAGGGGTGGCAGATGGAGTTTAATTTAGATAAATGTGAGGTGCTGCATTTTGGAAAGGCAAACCAAGGCAGGACTAATACATTTAATAGTAAGGTCCTAGGAATTGCTGCCAAACAAAGAGACCTTGGAGTGCAGGTTCATAATTCCTTGAAAGTGGAGTCACAGACAGGGTAGTGAAGAAAGCATTTAGTATGCTTGCCTTTACTGATCAGTGCATTGAGTATAGGAGTCAGGAGGTCATGCTGTGGCTGTACAGGACATTGGTTTGGCCACTTTTGGACTATTGTGTGCAATTCTGGTCTCCCTGCTATAGGAAGGATGTTGTGAAACTTGAAAGGGTTCAGAAGAGATTTACAAGGATGTTGCCGGATATGGAGGGTTTGAGCTGTAAGGAGAGCCTGAATAGCCTGGAGCTATGTTCCCTGGATTGTCAAAGGCTGAGGCAGGACGTTATAGAAGTTTATAAAATCATGAGGAGCATGGATAAGGTAAAAGCCAAGCTCTTTTCCTCAGGATAGGAGAGCCCAAAACTAGAGGGCATAGGTTTAAGGTGAGAGGGAAAAGATTTAAAAGGGACCTAAGAGTTAACCTGTTGATATAGAGGAGGGTGCATGTATGGAATGAGCTGCACAGACCCATCCCCCTATAAACCCACCTAATCTACACATCCCTGAACACGAAGGGCCAATCCACCTAGCCTGCACATCTTTTGGACTGTGGGAGGAAACTGGAGCATCCGCAGGAAACCCACACAGACACAGGGAAAATGTGCAAACTCCACACAGACAGTCGCCTGAGGGTGGAATCAAACCCTGGTCCCTAGCGCTATGAAGCAGCAGTGCTAACCACCGTGCCACCCCAGTGGTCTGTGAGCAAATGTCTATCTGTCACAACTTTGACACTGAAGGTACAAAGCCTAACCATCTGTAGTGCTACACAATATTCTTTTGTCCAAGGTGTTAAGCTTCATGTACAGGCTCTGGGAATTTGAAAAGTGATTGCTACTCTGGCAATGATTAACCAGATGTTGCCAGGGATGAAGGGCTTAAATTATAAGGAGAGGCTGGATAGGCTGGGACCTTTTTCACTGGAGCGTAGGAGGTTGAGTGGTGACCTTATAGAGATTTATAAAATCATGATGGGTATAGATAAGGTGAATGGCAGGTGTCTTTTCCCTAGGGTAGGTGCTTTCAAGAGTAGACGACATATTTTTAAGGTGAGAGGAAAAAGATTTTAAAAAGATGTGAGGGGCATTTTTCTTATACAAAGAGTGGTTTGTGTGTGGAATGAACTTCCAGAAGAAGTGGCAGATGTGGGTACAGTTACAATGTTTAAAAAATATTTAGGTAAGAAGTGTTTGGAGGGCTCTAGGCCAGGTGCAGGCAGGTGGGAGTAGTTTAGGTTGGGATTACAGTCAGCATGTACTGGTTGGACTGAAAGGTCTGTTTCCGTGCTGTATGATTCTATGGCTCTATAACTGTGAATGTTTTCACATTGGAAAGCATTGCTTGTGCATCACAGCCAATAATAGGATTGATTTGTAATGTTGCCTGTTGCGGTCAAGAGTGCTTGGGACCAGGATTTAATGCCTTCGGTTCACATAGTACGTAATGCTCGCAGGTATATTTCAGCATCAGAGTATGGGTATCTGTGAAATGCTGTTGCCCTTCAAAGTGCATCTTATTGAAGAAACTGAAGACCCTTCCCTCACACTTACCCTGTCCCTGGATGTGATGGCAGCCATTTTCAGCACTTGTTGTTTCCAGTACAGTCGAAGGAAACAGCGGTTATTCCTCAACCCGTGAGAGTCTGCTCAGCCTCTCACTCTAGATGAGCCTGCAAATTACACGTTCCCTTCTTGCAGCCCTTTTCGTAAATCCCCATAGTCTTCGAACGTCCCCAAGTATCCTCCCACTCCATCTGAATTTTCATTGCCCCACTTTACACAGTCCCTGCCCCCATCCCCAGGCGTATCAAGTAAACATGTCAGACCTAGTCCTCCACTGTCACCCATAGAAATTAGGGTGCTGCTGACTGTTGATGACATGCCTCTAGTATTACCCCCTTACCTCCAACATATCATCCTCCCCATTATATAATGAGTTGCCATCCCCCTGCACAATTGTAATCCCCTCTGCACCCCAGCATGCTGCCTCTAATCCACAAAATTAAGTTCCCAACTTCCATCCCACCGCTCAAGCCCCTGATAAACCCCCCACTGACTTTTAGTGAACAGACCCCAGGGCTGACTGTAGCTCACCCCCTTGAGTCACTTAGACGGCCAGAACAATGAGTGACCAGGCCCACTGACTGGTAGCCAGACAGCTCCCTGACTGTGGTTCCACAGCTCCCCGGACTGTTTGCACTGGGGCCACAGGGCTGACTGTGGCTCACCCCCAGACTGTAGAAGTATGAACCCCTGACAATGACCATCCCAGATGTTCCACTGACCATACCCAAGCCTCTGAATTGATATCAGAGGCTCACCTTGACTTACTATGCCAGGAACCCCTGCATAATGGGTGTC